GAGTAGAAGGAAAAATGGATTCAATAAAATTTCAGCAAATTTCAGATGGTAACTTGATGCCATCTGTGAAAAAGGTGAAGTTAAAGAGATGATGGCTTCTACAAATGGATAATGATCCTAAACACACCTCGAAATCCGCAGGGGATTACATCAAGAGGCATAAACTGAAGGTTTTGCCATGGCCTTCACAATCTCCTGACCTCAACATAATTGAAAAATCTATGGATAGACCTTAAAAGAGCAGTGCGTGACAGACAGCCCAGAAATCTCTCAAAGAACTGGAAGACTTTTGTAAGGAAGAATGGGCAAAGATACCTCAAACAAGAATTGAAAGACTCTTGGCTGGCTACAAAAAGCGTTTACAAGCTGTGATACTTGCCAAAGGGGGCAGTACAAGATATTAATTCTGCAGGGTGCCCAAACTTTTGCAGACGCCATTTTTTTGTTTTCTGTTTTTTTGAAAGTGTAAATGATGGAAATAAAATCTAACTTTTGTTGACATATTATAAGAATGTCTAATCTGTAATTTGATGCCTTTTGGAGATTTTTTCCATCTTTCCTTGGCTTCTTTATGCACATTAATACAAATTTTTAGCTGGGGTGCCCAAACTTTTGATCCCCACTGTATACGTTACTATACTTTAACATATTTAATTTATCATATATGAGCTGTCATCAAATTACACTTTAATTATCCCCATGTTCCGTTAATTGCACTCTTATCGAATTTACATTATTTTTTTATTGGCATGTGCCCCATATTAATTGCACTTTTATTGAATGTTAAAAGAAAAAAATTTAATATTTTTTTTATTGGCATACATTAATAAATGATACCGTAAATTGTGATTTTGACTTTATTTACAATCCAAAATATATGAGTATTATATAAAAAATTTATTAGCTGGGTGGCCAAACATTTTGACCCCACTGAAAAAAAATTATTGTGAATTTTTGTAAATATTTTATATATAATCACTTTATCAATGTATGACATTTACTGACATTATAATTATAATATAATGATAAATTTGATGTATTTTAAATTAAATTTTATTTTTTATTCATGATGAAAAAAATACAAATATTATTATAATGGATATGAGTACACTTTTATTATTTTTAATCCCCAAATAAAAATATAAAAATAAAATAGCACTGAAGAAATGACATTATAACAAATAGTGTAATATATTTATAACAATATGTATAAAATAATTACTATTAATTTTGAAATTACATTCAAAGTGAGTACACCCCCAGACATTTTTGTAAATATTTTATTATATCTATTCTGTGACAACACTGAAGAAATGACATTATAACAGTGTAAATTTGCTGTCCCCTCAAAATAACTCAACACACAGCCACTAATGTCTAAAACCGCTGGCAACAAAAGTGAGTACACCCCTAAGTGAAAATGTCCAAATTGGGCCCAATTAGCCATTTTCCCTCCCCGGTGTCATGTGACTCGTTAGTGTTACAAGGTCTCAGGTGTGAATGGGGGAGTAGATGTGTTAAACTTGGTGTTATCGCTCTCACCCTCTCATACTGGTCACTGGAAGTTCAACATGGCACCTCATGGCAAAGAACTCTGAGGATCTGAAAAAAAGAATTGTTGCTCTACATAAAGATGGCCTAGGCTATAAGAAGATTGCCAAGACCCTGAAACTGAGCTGCAGCACCTTGGCCAAGACCATACAGCGGTTTAACGTGACAGGTTCCACTCAGAACAGGCCTCGCCATGGTCGACCAAGGGAGTTGAGTGCACGTGCTCAGCGTCATATCCAGAGGTTGTCTTTGGGAAATAGACGTATGAGTGCTACCAGCATTGCTGCAGAGGTTGAAGTGTGTCTTGCCTACAGTCAAGCATGGTGGTGGGAGTGTCATGGTCTGGGGCTGCATGAGTGCTGCTGGCACTGGGGAGCTACAGTTCATTGAGGGAACCATGAATACCAACATGTACTGTGACATACTGAAGCAGAGAATGATCCCCTCCCTTCGGAGACTGGGCCTCAGGGCAGTATTCCAACATGGTAATGACCCCAAACACACCTCCAAGACAACCACTACCTGAGAATAAAGGTGATGGACTGGCCAAGCATGTCTCCAGACCTAATCCCTATTGAGCATTTGTGGGGCATCCTCTAACGGAAGGTGGAGGAGCGCAAGGTCTCTAACATCCACCAGCTCCGTGATGTTGTCATGGAGGAATGGAAGAGGTCTCCAGTGGCAACCTGTGAAGCTCTGGTGAACTCCATGCCCAAGAGGGTTAAGGCAGTCCTGGAAAATAATAGTGGCCACACAAAATATTGACACTTTGGGCCCAATTTAGACATTTTCACTTAGGGGTGTACTCATTTTGTTGCCAGCGGTTTAGACATTAATGGCTGTGTGTTGAGTTATTTTAAGGGGACAGCAAATTTACACTGTTATACAAGCTGTACACTCACTACTTTACATTGTAGCAAAGTGTCATTTCTTCAGTGTTGTCACATGAAAAGATATAATAAAATATTTACAAAAATGTGAGGTGTGTACTTACTTCTGGGAGATACTATATATGTGAAAACCTTTGATGTAAAGAGATGGGTGTTAAAAAAGAATCTGCTCCAGGTGTCAAGTATACAAAGTATTCTACTGCCTAAAATGCCATGTTTTGAGGATTTCTCTCAATGGGAACAAAACTGATAAATAAAGATCCAGTAGGTGGGATGGAGGTAAAGGAAATCCTGAAAATGTGTAGTTCTAAAGTGAAATGACAACACAATAAAAAATTGACAAAACATACCATGATCTTACACAAAAATAAATTTTACACTCTTTAATTTTTAAGTTAAAAAATAATATTTTTTTTTTACATTTTCAGCTACTATATTCTACATAAACTAAATATAGATTTCAATAGAGATAGCTCTTTCCCTGTCTCATACACATGGGGGTTTGTGATCTTTTTAACAACACCACATGAAGCAGGATGCTCCTGGGAACACCCCATCATGCTGACAAACCTTTCAATATAAAGTGGAAATTATTCTTTTTATGTATCTACGTACAATGAAACCTGTTTATGGAACACATTATGCAAGTGATCAGATTTTAGAACAATTTTAACTCACAAAGGCTGTTACTGTACTGAAAAAGGAAGTACAGCTTCAAACTTAGAAATCTGCACGATAGTTTCCTAATACGAGAACTAATCTGTGATAATTAGAGATGAGCGAAGTATTCAAAAATTTGATTCGACTGATTCGGGCGAATTCGTGGAAAATATTCGATTCGAGTCGAATATATTCGCTGTGAATTTAACTTAAAAAAGGGTGTTTCTAGGCTTCAGAGAGACTTAATATTAGTGCAGAACACTGTACCTTTAATTTAAATGCCCTTGGAGTCTGCTGGGGAAGAGAAATAATACTGTCAGTCAGTATGACATTCAGATGAGTGCCGTCGATCTTAGAATCACCGCACACTTCACACATTTGGGCAGTCACGGGGCCAAAACCAGTGTTTTGGAGCCACAGTGTGGCGGTGGAGGCAGCAGCAAATGGGAGGCCATACAGCAACCTATGACAAAAAGGAAACCAGCAGGAGTGTGAGGAGACCTCAAAGTGGCAAATGGCAGAGTGGGAGCAATGGGAGGCGGTACAGGGACCCATGTCACACTGTGGACCCAGCAGCAGCGTGACCAGGCGGTACGGAGGCCCATGGCAGATTACAGGCCTGGCAGCAGCAATGGGAGGCCCGTAATCTGTCAGCACCCTATGACAAAATGGAACCCACCAGCAGTGTGAGGAGACCTGAAAGTGGCACATGGCAGAGTGTGGCGATGGAGACAGCAGCAATGGGAGGCCGTACAGGGACCCATGAGAGACTGTGGACCTGGCAGCAGCATGAGGAGGCGGTATAGGGGCCCATGGCAGATTAGGGGCCTGGCAGCAGCTATAGGGAGGCCCGTAATCTGCCAGCACCCTATGTCAAAAAAATTCAACACACAGCAGTGTGTGAGGAGACCTGAAAGTGGCACATGGCAGAGTGTGGCGATGGAGACAGCAGCAATGGGAGGCCGTACAGGGACCCATGACAGACTCTGGACTTGGCAGCAGCATGAGGAGGCGGTATATAGGGGCCCATGGCAGATTAGGGGCCTGGCAGCAGCTATGGGAGGCCCGTAATCTGCCAGCACCCTATGTCAAAAAATTCAACACACCAGCAGTGTGTGAGGAGACCTGAAAGTGGCACATGGCAGAGTGTGGCGATGGAGACAGCAGCAATGGGAGGCCGCCGTACAGGGACCCATGACAGACTCTGGACCTGGCAGCAGCATGAGGAGGCGGTTATATAGGGGCCCATGGCAGATTAGGGGCCTGGCAGCAGCTATGGGAGGGCCCGTAATCTGCCAGCACCCTATGTCAAAAAATTCAACACACCAGCAGTGTGAGGAGACCTGAAAGTGGCACATGGCAGAGTGTGGCGATGGAGACAGCAGCAATGGGAGGCCATACAGGGACCCATGACAGACTCTGGACTTGGCAGCAGCATGAGGAGGCGGTATATAGGGGCCCATGGCAGATTAGGGGCCTGGCAGCAGCTATGGGAGGCCCGTAATCTGCCAGCACCCTATGTCAAAAAAATGGAACACACCAGCAGTGTGAGGAGACCTGAAAGTGGCACATGGCAGAGTGGGGCATGAGCAGCAATGGGGATTTAGTCAGTTTGTGGCAGGAACTGGCAGACTTGGAATGGCAGACTAATCCAGGAGGCCCGTAATCTGCCAGCACCCATGTCAAAAAATTCAACACACACAGCAGTGTGTGAGGAGACCTGAAAGTGGCACATGGCAGAGAGTGGCGATGGAGACAGCAGCAATGGGAGGCCGTACAGGGACCCATGAGAGACTCTGGACCTGGCAGCAGCATGAGGAGGCGGTATATAGGGGCCCATGGCAGATTAGGGGCCTGGCAGCAGCTATGGGAGGCCCGTAATCTGCCAGCACCCTATGTCAAAAAATTCAACACACCAGCAGTGTGAGGAGACCTGAAAGTGGCACATGGCAGAGTGTGGCGATGGAGACAGCAGCAATGGGAGGCCGTACAGGGACCCATGAGAGACTCTGGACTTGGCAGCAGCATGAGGAGGCGGTATAGGGGCCCATGGCAGATTAGGGGCCTGGCAGCAGCTATGGGAGGCCCGTAATCTGCCAGCACCCTATGACAAAAAATGGAACACACCAGCAGTGTGTGAGGAGACCTGAAAGTGGCACATGTTTGGGGCATGATTCATGGCGGATTTAGTCAGTTGTGTCAGGAACTGGTGGTTTGAAATCCAGACTAATCCGCCTGATTCATTTTCACAAACGTGAGTCTCTCCACACTTTGGGTGGACAGTCGTGTCCTCCGCGGAGTTGCAATACCTCCTGCCGCACTAAACACGCGCTCCGATGCCACGCTACTGGCCGGGCATGACAGCCTTTCAAGGGCAAATTCAGCTAGTTGGGGCCAAAGGTCAAGTTTCGTTGCCCAGTAGTAGTCAAGGGGATTGTCTACCTCGGTTGGCAGGGTGCTGTCCAAGTAGGCCTAAGCCTGTTGTTTGAGGTCCTGCTCCAGGTCCACCTGATGCTGCTGCTGCTGCTGCTGCTGCTGCTGGCTGGTTAGTAGTTTCCTCAGCCTCACTGCGCTGGTGAAGAAAGCTACTCATCATCGACTGCAGACTGAGGCAGCCGCTGCTGGTGGAGCTGCCACTGCTCCTACCACCCCACCCCTCCCCTGCTGCCATGGCAGCGGAACGCGAGCGCACAGGGCCACAGTGTCTGAGGATGGACGTTGGCGCAGACAGGCAGAGACCAGCTGACTACATAGGTGGTTTTTATAGTACGTTATTTTGGCCTCCCTCTCAGCAGGTGTGAAAAAGGCCACCATTTTTGAACGGTAGCGAGGGGTCCAACAAGGTGGACAGCCAAAAGTCATCCCTCTGTCTGATGGTTATTATTCGGCTGTCGTCTACGCAAGCAAGCGAGCATGCTGCTATGGGCCATTTGTGCCAAGGAATGCGAGGGACTCCCTGCCCCATCTCCACAGCATACTGCCACGGTGCGTCTGGGTCCTCTGTCTCCTCTCCTCCTCCTCTACCAGATGCTCCTGCTCCTCCACTCCTGTCCGCTGAGTGGAAAAAACCACCCATTTCACTCAATAATTCCTGAGCACCAATGTCCTCCTCTACCTCCTCCTCTTCTTCCTGTCCTGCCCCCCCACAGGGGTCATGTGGCGTTGAGATCTGTGCGCCACGTCTACCGCACCCTGACCAGCATTGTTAACAGCATTTGTTCCAGGACGTGCAACAGAGGAATGACGTCGTTCATCCCATAGTCCTGCCGACTCACGAATAGCGTGGCCTCCTCAAAGGGCCTGAGCAAGCGCAGGTGTCACGCATGAGCTGCCAATGGCTGACATCTAAGTTACACAGGGAGAGTACCTTTATCCGCTTTTAACATCAGGAAATCTGTGATGGCCTTTTGCTGTTCGTAAAGGCGGGTCAGCTAACATGTGTAGGGTTGAATTCCACCTTGTTGCAACGTCGCAGATGAGGCGATGCTGTGGCAATGGCAGTTCTGCCGCTGCAGCTCAAGGAGGGTGTGCTTTGCGGTGTATGTCAAATGGCTGAAAATGCATGCAAAGTTTACGTGACATTTTAAGGATGTCTTGCAGTGGGATGGTGGATTTTAGGAACCGCTTGACAACCCAGATTGAACACGTGAGCCATGCATGCATGGCGCATGGCACAACCTTACTTGACGCAGAGCAGACACCATGTGTCTTTCCGTTGTCGGTCAACATGGTTCCGATTTTCAGTTTGCGCGGAGACAGCCATCTGTCGATTTCTCTGTTCATTACACTGAGAAGTTCCACCCCTGTGTGACTACGTTCGCCTGGACCTGGCAGCAGCATGAGGAGGCGGTATAGGGGGGGCCATGGCAGATTAGGGGCCTGGCAGCAGCTATGGGAGGCCCGTAATCTGCCAGCACCCTATGTCAAAAAATTCAACACACCAGCAGTGTGTGTGAGGAGACCTGAAAGTGGCACATGGCAGAGTGTGGCGATGGAGACAGCAGCAATGGGAGGCCGTACAGGGACCCATGAGAGACTCTGGACTCTGGACCTGGCAGCAGCATGAGGAGGCGGTATATAGGGGCCCATGGCAGATTAGGGGCCTGGCAGCAGCTATGGGAGGCCCGTAATCTGCCAGCACCCTATGTCAAAAAATTCAACACAGTGTGAGCAGTGTGAGGAGACCTGAAAGTGGCACATGGCATGGAGAGACTGTGGGACCTGGGACCCATGACAGACTCTGGACATGCATGAGAGGCGGTATAGGGGCCCATGGCAGATTAGGGGCCTGGCAGCAGCTATGGGAGGCCCGTAATCTGCCAGCACCCTATGTCAAAAAATTCAACACACCAGCAGTGTGTGAGGAGACCTGAAAGTGGCACATGGCAGAGTGTGGCGATGGAGACAGCAGCAATGGGAGGCCGTACAGGGACCCATGAGAGACTCTGGACTTGGCAGCAGCATGAGGAGGAGGCGGTATATAGGGGCCCATGGCAGATTAGGGGCCTGGCAGCAGCTATGGGAGGCCCGTAATCTGCCAGCACCCTATGTCAAAAAATTCAACACACCAGCAGTGTGTGAGGAGACCTGAAAGTGGCACATGGCAGAGTGTGTGGCGATGGAGACAGCAGCAGCAATGGGAGGCCGTACAGGGACCCATGACAGACTCTGGACTTGGGCAGCAGCATGAGGAGGCGGTATATAGGGGCCCATGGGCAGATTAGGGGCCTGGCAGCAGCTATGGGAGGCCCGTAATCTGCCAGCACCCTATGTCAAAAAATTCAACACACCAGCAGTGTGTGAGGAGACCTGAAAGTGGCACATGGCAGAGTGTGGCGATGGAGACAGCAGCAATGGGAGGCCGTACAGGGACCCATGACAGACTCTGGACTTGGCAGCAGCATGAGGAGGCGGTATAGGGGCCCATGGCAGATTAGGGGCCTGGCAGCAGCTATGGGAGGCCCGTAATCTGCCAGCACCCTATGTCAAAAAATTCAACACACCAGCAGTGTGTGAGGAGACCTGAAAGTGGCACATGGCAGAGTGTGTGGCGATGGAGACAGCAGCAATGGGAGGCCGTACAGGGACCCATGACAGACTCTGGACTTGGCAGCAGCATGAGGAGGCGGTATATAGGGGCCCATGGCAGATTAGGGGCCTGGCAGCAGCAGCTATGGGAGGCCCGTAATCTGCCAGCACCCTATGTCAAAAAAAATACACACAGCAGTGTGTGAGGCAGTGTGAGAGGAGACCTGACAGACCTGAAAGTGGCACATGGCAGAGTGTGGCGATGGAGACAGCAGCAATGGGAGGCCGTACAGGGACCCATGACAGACTCTGGACTTGGCAGCAGCATGAGGAGGCGGGTATATAGGGGGCCCATGGCAGATTAGGGGCCTGGCAGCAGCTATGGGAGGCCCGTAATCTGCCAGCACCCTATGTCAAAAAAAATTCAACACACCAGCAGTGTGTGGAGGACCTGAAAGTGGCACATGGAAGTGGCGATGGACAGCATGGCCGTATGAGAGACCCATGAGACTGGACCTGGCTGCAGCAGCAGAGGAGGCGGTATATAGGGGCCCATGGCAGATTAGGGGCCTGGCAGCAGCTATGGGAGGCCCGTAATCTGCCAGCACCCTATGTCAAAAAAATTCAACACACCAGCAGTGTGTGAGGAGACCTGAAAGTGGCACACCCCACATGGCAGCAGATGGCAGAGTGTGGGCGATGGATGGAGCAACCCACCGACTGTTTTGCTCGCTGCCAAGCTGCCACCCTCTTCTCCTGATGATGCGGAAGCAATAGCCTGATGACGACGAGGCTGCCAAGTGCGATCAGCCTCATCATCATCAATTAGGGTCTCCGCCTCACTACTAGCCCCCTCGGCTGCGTGTGGGTCAGGAGACAGACCTGTCTCTACACCGGCTACCGAGCCACTCTCCTCGCCACTATACTTCTTCTGCCTGGCTGCTGAAGAGGCGGATGTCTCCCCCCGTTCCTGACCGCCCTCTGTTAGCTCTTCCTCACTGTACTGGATGACACCGGGGCCACTAGCCTCTGGCTGCGAATAGTGCTGCCTCGACCCCTTCCTCTGCTGCCACGTCTGCTCGCTCCCTAAAACATTGCCTCCTCTGCCACTCCTCTGCATGTTGTCTGACATACTCTTTAATTAAACGATTCTGTGTCCCTGAGTAACAATTCTGTGTCCCTGAGTAACGTTTCTGTGGCCTAAGTAACAGTTCTGTGGCCCTAAGTAACAGTTCTGTGGCCCTCAGTAACAATTCTGTGTCTGTCCCTGAGTAACAATTCTGTGGCCCTCCCTCAGTAACAATTCTGTGTCCCTCAGTAACAATTCTGTGTCCCTGAGTAACAATTCTGTGTGGAGTCCCTGAGTAACAATTTGTGTGGCCCTATGTAACAGTTCTGTGGCCCTGAGTAACAGTTCTGTCCCTGAGTAACAATTCTGTCCCTGGGACCCTGTAACAACTTCTGTGTCTGTCCCTGAGTAACAATTCTGTGTCCCTCAGTAACAATTCTGTGTCCCTGAGTAACAATTCTGTGTCCCTGAGTAACAATTTCTGTGGCCCTAAGTAACAATTCTGTGGCCCTCAGTAACAATTCTGTGGCCCTCAGTAACAATTCTGTGTGTGTCCCTGAGTAACAATTCTGTGTCTGTGTCCCTCAGTAACAATTCTGTGTCCCTCAGTAACAATTCTGTGTCCCTGAGTAACAATTCTGTGGCCCTAAGTAACGTTCTGTGGCCCTCAGTAACAATTCTGTGGCCCTGAGTAAATTCAATTCTGTGTAACAATTCTGTGTCCCTGTAACAATTCTGTGTCCCTCAGTAAAATTTCTGTGTCCCTCAGTAACAATTCTGTGTCCCTCAGTAGTAACAATTCTGTGTCCCTGAGTAACAATTCTGTGTGGCCCTGAGTAACAATTCTGTGTCCCTGAGTAACAATTCTGTGGCCCTGAGTAACAATTCTGTGTCCCCTGAGTAACAATTCTGTGTCCCTGAGTAACAATTCTGTGGCCCTCAGTAACTGTTCTGTTCTGTGTCCTGAGTAAACAATTCTGTGTCTGTCCTGAGTAACAATTCTGTGTCTGTGGCCCTGAGTAACAAATTCTGTGGCCCTGAGTAACAATTCTGTGTCCCTGAGTAACAATTCTGTGTCCCTCAGTAACAATTCTGTGTCCCTCAGTAACAATTCTGTGTCCCTGAGTAACAATTCTGTGTCCCTAAGTTCTGTGGCCCTAAGTAACAATTCTGTGTCCTAAGTAACAATTCTGTGGCCCTCAGTAACAATTCTGTGTCTGTCCCTGAGTAACAATTCTGTGTCCCTCAGTAACAATTCTGTGTCCCTCAGTAACAATTTCTGTGTCCCTCAGTAACAATTCTGTGGCCCTCAGTAACAATTCTGTGTCCCTCAGTAACAATTCTGTGTCCCTGAGTAACAATTCTGTGTCCCTCCCTGAGTAACACAATTCTGTGTCCCTGTAACAATTCTGTGTCCCTGAGTAACAATTCTGTGGTCCCTGGAGTAACAATTCTGTGGCCCTCAGTAACAATTCTGTGTCCCTGAGTAACAATTCTGTGTCTGTCCCTGAGTAACAATTCTGTGGCCCTGAGTAACAATTCTGTGGCCCTCAGTAACAATTCTGTGTCCCTCAGTAACAATTCTGTGTCTGTGTCCCTCAGTAACAATTCTGTGGCCCTCAGTAACAATTCTGTGTCTGTCCTGAGTAACAATTCTGTGTCCCTGTCCCTGTAACAATTCTGTGGCTGTGGCCCTAAGTAACAATTTCTGTGGCCCCTCTCAGTAACAATTCTGTGTCCCTGGTAACCTGAGTAACAATTCTGTTCTGTGTCCCTGAGTAACAATTCTGTGTCTGTCCCTGTAAACAATTCTGTGGCCCTAAGTAACGGTTCTGTGGCCCTCAGTAACAATTCTGTGTCCCTGAAGTAACAATTCTGTGGCCCTAGTAACAATTCTGTGGCCCTCAGTAACAATTCTGTGTCCCTGAGTAACAATTCTGTGTCCCTGAGTAACAATTCTGTCTGTGGCCCTAAGTAACGGTTCTGTGGCCCTCAGTAACAATTCTGTGTCCCTGAGTAACAATTCTGTGTCTGTCCCTGAGTAACAATTCTGTGGCCCTAAGTAACGGTTCTGTGGCCCTCAGTAACAATTCTGTGTCCCTGAGTAACAATTCTGTGGCCCTAAGTAACAATTCTGTGGCCCTCAGTAACAATTCTGTGTCCCTCAGTAACAATTCTGTGTCTGTCCCTGAGTAACAATTCTGTGGCCCTAAGTAACGGTTTCTGTGGCCCTAGTAACAATTCTGTGGCCCTCAGTAACAATTCTGTGTCCCTGAAGTAACAATTCTGTGGCCCTAAGTAACGGTTCTGTGGCCCTCAGTAGTAACAATTCTGTGTCCCTGAGTAACGTTTCTGTGTGCCCTAGTAACAACGGTTCTGTGGCCCTCAGTAACAATTCTGTGTCCCTGAGTAACAATTCTGTGTCTGTCCCTGAGTAACAATTCTGTGGCCCTAAGTAACAATTCTGTGGCCCTCAGTAACAATTCTGTGTCCCTCAGTAACAATTCTGTGTCTGTGTCCCTGAGTAACAATTTCTGTGGCCCTGAGTAACGGTTCTGTGGCCCTCAGTAACAATTCTGTGTCCCTGAGTAAATTCTGTGTGGCCCTGAGTAACAATTCTGTGGCCCCCTAAGTAACAATTCTGTGGCCCTCAGTAACAATTCTGTGTCCCTCAGTAACAATTCTGTGTCTGTCCCTGAGTAACAATTCTGTGGCCCTAAGTAACGTTTCTGTGGCCCTAGTAACAATTCTGTGTCCCTCAGTAACAATTCTGTGTGTGTCCCTGAGTAACAATTCTGTGGCCCTAAGTAACGGTTTCTGTGGCCCTCAGTAACAATTCTGTGTCCCTGAGTAACAATTCTGTGGCCCTAAGTAACGGTTCTGTGGCCCTCAGTAACAATTCTGTGTCCCTCAGTAACAATTCTGTGTCTGTCCCTGAGTAACAATTCTGTGGCCCTAAGTAACGGTTGTGTGGCCCTCAGTAACAATTCTGTGGCCCTCAGTAACAATTCTGTGTCCCTGAGTAACAATTCTGTGGCCCTAAGTAACAATTCTGTGGCCCTCAGTAACAATTCTGTGTCCCTGAGTAACAATTCTGTGTCTGTCCCTGAGTAAACAATTCTGTGGCCCTAAGTAGTAACAATTCTGTGTCCCTCAGTAACAATTTCTGTGGCCCTCAGTAACAATTCTGTGTCCCTGAGTAACAATTTCTGTGGCCCTCAGTAACAATTCTGTGGCCCTCTGTGTAACAATTCTGTGTCCCTGAGTAACAATTCTGTGTCTGTCCCTGAGTAACAATTCTGTGTCTGTCCCTGAGTAACGTTCTGTGGCCCTAAGTAACAATTCTGTGGCAATTCTGTGTCCCTGTAACAATTCTGTGTCTGTCCCTGAGTAACAATTCTTCTGTGTCCCTGAGTAACAATTCTGTGTCCCTCAGTAACAATTCTGTGGCCCTCAGTAACAATTCTGTGTCCCTCTGAGTAACAATTCTGTGGCCCTCAGTAACAATTCTGTGGCCCTGTGTCCCTGAGTAACAATTCTGTGTCCCTGAGTAACAATTCTGTGGCCCTCAGTAACAATTCTGTGGCCCTAAGTAACAATTCTGTGGCCCTCAGTAACAATTCTGTGTCCCTCCCTGAGTAACAATTCTGTGTCCCCCTGAGTAACAATTCTGTGTGTCCCTCAGTAACAATTCTGTGTCTGTCCCTGAGTAACAATTCTGTGTCTGTCCCTGAGTAACGTTTCTGTGGCCCTAAGTAACAATTCTGTGGCCCTCAGTAACAATTCTGTGTCCCTGAGTAACAATTCTGTGTCTGTCCTGAGTAACAATTCTGTGGCCCTAAGTAACAATTCTGTGGCCCTCAGTAACAATTCTGTGTCCCTGAGTAACAATTCTGTGTCCCTGAGTAACAATTCTGTGGCCCTCAGTAACAATTCTGTGTCCCTCAGTAACAATTCTGTGTCTGTCCTGAGTAACAATTCTGTGTCTGTCCCTGAGTAACAATTCTGTGTGGCCCTAAGTAACGTTCTGTGGCCCTCAGTAACAATTCTGTGGCCCTCAGTAACAATTCTGTGTCTGTCCCTGAGTAACAATTCTGTGTCCCTAAGTAACAATTCTGTGGCCCTGAGTAACAATCTGTGTCCCTGAGTAACAATTCTGTGGCCCTAAGTAACAATTCTGTGGCCCTCAGTAACCCCTCAGTAACAATTCTGTGTCTGTCCCTGAGTAAACAATTCTGTGTCTGTCCCTGAGTAACAATTC